AAATTCGAGGGCGTGTCTAATCAAACGAATAATCATATCAAGCAGACCCAAAATCATAGAACGTATCATTGCAAAGAATTCACATATCCATGCACAAGTCTAATTTTTCAATTTTTTTCGCAGAAAAGGTGGCTATTTGCAAAGCAAGAAAATTGGATGGCACTGATGAAGGGGTATGACTGCTGATGGATATACTCAATCATCTAACAAAATTCATTGTGCTAATCTGATTAACGTTATAAAATGAAACAATTTATCGTTTAGTGTTCTATGCTGGACAAGGACGTTACTTGACCGAGCATTCAACCGAGAAGAACATCGCTCGGAACTTTTCAGTATTCTGGGCAGTTGGGTGCATGAGGTGAAGAATTTTATTTGCTCGCGTTTAACTCGTGAGCATCACTGCGGTCCATTCAGTCCTTTTATTGCATTCATGGAATTTGCATTACTGGTGACTACTTCATAGAGGATGGTGAAGACACTTAAGGTTTTTCAAGAATAGCAACAGCAACAGAAGTGTGCTGATCTGGTAAATGAACATGATGAAACTGCACACTGCGTAAAATTGATTGAATTTTCTCCATTTTTCGGAATTGTCTCTGAATAACTAAAATTTACATTTGAATTCAACTCATATTATTTTCAATGATCAGTATGGCACTCGGTGGTTTAATATTGCTGGTTGTTAACGAGACAAATACAAGTGGATCGAACAGAACTGAGGCCCATCATGATTTCTCAGAACGGAAAATTCGTCTTATCTTTGGCGCATTCGCACTGCTTTCACTCTTGTCTAATGTCACATTCTTTTTGCTTCCGAAGCGTAAGCCCGAAAATGCACTCGAAGACAATTCTGATGTAGAAAGAGGATTTTGGGACACTTTAGGTAAGTTTATTTTGAATCTGGTTCGAATGACTGGTCACTAGAAATGATCAAATGCATAAACAGAAGAGACGAAGGCCGCATATTTGGCAAAAACCTATCTGATAAATGTGTTCAAGAACTGAGCTCGTTGCCATTCGAACGAAATGCTCCGAATCGAATTGCGTTTATGGCAAACAACGAGTAACTGATTCGTGTAGCGCTGTGACTCTTTAAAACACTTTCAACTTTTTCGATATTTCAGCATTCACTTTCAAAGCGTTCGCAAGTCCGAAACTATGGTTGTTATCCTTTTCGTGGATGTATTTGGGTCTGAGCACCGCTTTCTACTTAGGCCCATATCCAACTGCATTAATATTCACCGAATCACTAACTGAGCACACAACGCTCATACCATTCTATGCGTGTTCGATTGGTTTCGGAGAAATCATCTGTAAGTGATAAACTGCTTCCTTATGCACTGAGCGGTCTAAGTTTGTGAGCAACCTCCAAACATTCCAACAGTTATCGACTGTCTTCTTCAATTTTCAAATTTTCTTATTAGCACTCCTGCAGCCAGTTTGACCACCGTTTTCGTCAAGGAGTTACATGTGCCGCAATGTATTTAAAGACTATCCGAACAGATGATTATTTTACACTCATGCATAGAGCAATATTTTAATTACTGGAAGAGATTTCGATGAAATCAACCTAATTATAATTTGTGAACTCAAGCAGCATAATTCAGATTAGCTGTTGCTAAAATTATCGCGTTCAAACTGCACTAGAACATGATTTTGCACCTTTTGAGCCAACATGAAGTCGCTTTCTAAATTCGGGTATCATGAATCCAACGATAATTGTTTGCGTTTATTTTGTTTCTAGTTTCTGCTGGTTGACTAAAATAATCAAAAATTAACCTTTCTTTTTCGGGAACTAAAATCGCGAGGAGGAAGTGATTTTATTAAAGATATCCAAAATTTCGAATGTTAAAGATGAACAGCTCGAGAGCGTAACTCGACTCCATTTCTTACTATGATCACGACCCAAAATTCACTCAAGTGATATCGGTTTTGAAATCTCTTTTTGCAGTCATCCTCACAAGTTTTTTCTCTAGAGCTGTTTCTTCTCTTTTTGCAATCAAGTAGTTTTAAAAATCGAAAGAATGAGGAGTAACCATTGTTAACGAATACAACAGAAAAATATTTCAGGCGGATTGATAATCTCATATGGCTCAAATAAGTTCCGCAATTTTGCAAGATTGCCAACAATTACAATTGCTATCGTAACACACCTGATTACTTTCCTTCTAATTCTACTCTCAACACCGAGGGAATCTTCACTTCGGCCTACCAAACAGCCAGCTCTGCTAATTCAACCGAAGCAAGTTTAACCTTTATTTAAAGTACTGTAAAGATGTTGTCTGCTGCTGTAAAAGAAAGTACACTTTGTTTTCTGAATATGACTTATGTTTTAATAATCGAATGTTGTATTGCATTTAGTCCAGTGGTTCTCATAGGAGGTGAAATTACACATTTTGGATAATTTGGAGTTGTGAAAGGGTAATGGAGGGGGTCAGGAAACTAGTATTTCATGCTGTTGTTGTGTTATGATAGAACGCCATTGTGATGGTGTTTTCTAACTTGGTTATGTAAATGCAACACATTAGTTGATGGCAACACTCTTCATTCTCCTATTTTCTGAGTATCACTAGCTCGCCCGGGCCTAACGGGGTTTTCATTCTTTTTCTTGCTGCTACAATCACTCTCATAGCTTTTATCACCAAAAGTGTCCTGTTTTGCTAATTTCTCATTCATTTCACTCAACAATTAAAGTCAAATTCTTCAAAAGTGTTGTGTTTTGCTAATTTCTCATTCATTTCACTCAACAGTTAAAGTCAAATTCTCATTTACTAATTTCTCATTCATTTCGCTCAACAATTAAAGTCAAATTCTCATTCATCCAATACACTGTATGACTGATCATTTTATTGTCGATTGTTGTTGAGCATTGTATTTTATTGCTGTATTGTTGATCTCGGCTGTCTACACTCGTCAACGCATGGAGTAAGTAGTACATGCTACAGAATAAGAAATTGATTCTAACTGTGAAGTGAAATGAGACGAAATGAATGAGAAAAACCCATCAAGAGAACGATAATCGCAAGTA